TAAAGATTGTTTTCAAGAGTTTTGACAAATTTCAGTCAGTCAACTAGTGATATCTTTATCTTGATCATCAGAAAAATATTTACAAAACTAAAAATGTCAGAGAAATTTTTCTAATTTTCATCTGTGTGGGTGTATTAATTCTTTTCCCTTAAATTTAGTAAAATTTGGCGTCTAAAATTAATCCTTTTTTTTCTAACTCAGGTTTCGCTTATAAACCATTTTTCAAATATTCCAGACAATGTAATCAACAGTGTTATACGCTTGACCATTATGTTGTAGGCTGATGAATACTACTGAATAAAATTAGTAGTTGATTATTACTAGAGTCTCTGAGTAGTAATGTATCAACTTTGGCTAGGAAATTATATCGCTTTTTCACTATTCTCGCCTGAATAAGATAACTGTCAGTATCCGAAGGTTAATATATGTTAGTAAACCAACATTCAAGACAAGTAGTGTGATCCAAACCCAGTACCGATATGACTAATCATCTTACAAGAAAAACTTACAAATATATTGAACGTATGTATAATATACTATTAACTGACAAGCATAGCTCTTAAGGTAAGATTTCTTCCCACGGACTGGCTATTTTATAAACACCTGATACGATTCTCAACGGAACCTAAATGCATATTTTAACAGTAGTACTCCAGAAACTAAAGCGTACAAATTAATGAATGTAAAGTACTCTATATCAAAAAGTATGCAGTTCAATAAGCAGAATTAAAAATAACAATAATGAAACTATAGATCAGACAAAACTTCGTCTGGTTGACTAGTTCACTAGTTACTAGCCGATCCTAAGCCCACATAAAGAGGGAAGGTTAAGCATACGGCTAGCAACCCTAACCAATCCAGTAAAACTAATCCAATAGCTAAACAAACTTCAAAGCACAACGAAAATATAAAAAATAAAAACAAACTTATTCCTCGCCTGAATTGGGGAGACAAAATGACACCGGTTGGTGAAGCCAATTGGCGATATGTCTTCTCTCCCTAGATGAAAGCGAAAGTAAACATGGGGACATGGAATGTCCACACCATGTGTGGACCTAGCAACGCTGCCCAGATTGCAAAAGAGATGAGAAGGTATAGCACTGAAGTGTTAGGAATCTGCGAAAGCAGATGGAATAGAAGTGGACTCTCCAAACTCTTAACTGGAGAGTCAATAATCTTCTCCTATATTGTCACCCAGACGAAAACCATGAGCACACTGAGTTTTGGGGTGTTTATCATGATGTCTCCAAGACCATCGAAGGTTCTTATGCAGTGGGAACCAATCTCCCCCAGCATCATGACAGCAAGGTGGATTTAACTCAGAAGGAAGGAAAGTCACAATCAGTCGAAGCTACGCACCTACAAATAATGCAGATCAAGAGAAGGCCGATTAGGAACATCACGCGCCACGCCAGTTCCTCAAGTGGAATAGGAAGCGGAAATGAAGAGTTGAGCGTCTGAGGCGAGAATGACATGGAGGAGATCACATGAGCAAGAAATGAAAGCTTGTGAGCAGTCGTGCAGCCAGGTTGAAAAGACTGCAGAAGCTACAGTTCAATGGTGGGCTAGTGAAGCCCTATTTTCCATTAGGAACCCAAGGGACAAATAATAATAACACAGATCAGACAAATAAAGTCCACTTCTTGTATGTAAGCCAATGTAACACTTGTGATAATTTTTATTTTCACAGCTGTTAAGTACTCCCAAATTTTCAATGTTTATCCGGATGACATTTGTACGTGAAAAAACAAACTTAGCAATCAATCAGTCCTGACAAACCAGTAATTGAACTACATACTTGCATTTTAGGGAAGTTTTCATCACGCACTAATATTGCTTTAAGATCTCACTAGGGATAAAACTCAAGGCCTTCAGGTCTCCCATTGGACCTGCGAACATCCTAAATGCCCACAAAATTTCATGATGAGATGATGGGAATCATAACTTCTTGTTTGCACTCAGACTGCAAAGCGGAATACAGCATATCTACATTAAAAAATTTCCACCGAGCTGAAATTTCCGTTGATAAACCTTTTAGCATCATATTAGACATCGTTTTCGGTGCAACTACATAGTTCGTAAAATCAAGAACTATATCCAAAGCTACAGTTACGCGAATGTACAGCAGGATAACCTAAGTAAAACATCTCCGAAATAACTGCATCATTTGGCCAGTCCTATACTTCCAAACATCTTGTTTACATACATGTAGCGGAAATCATGCTAATTGGCGCCTTGCCACAAAGCTGCCGAAATCCGAAAAGCAGCAGGACCACATACAATCTCTCCGAAAGCACTGAAAACAGACACAGAAGCGACGCCACAAATGCTCACAACACTATTACAGAAGATTTGTTTGGGAGCAAGGAAAGATACCTGCCAACTGAAAGAAGGGCTACGTTGTCAAACACTCAAAGAAGCAAGACATAAGCTTCTGCAAGGACTGGCACGTAATCATTCCACTGTCCACAACAAGCAAAATATTAAACAGCATCATCCTGGAGAGACTGAAAAATGATGCACTGCTTTGGAAATTACGACACGAACATGCTGGCTGAATTCAGGAAGTACAAATCATGTGCACATCAAATTGAAATGCTCCGCTACACATCATTATAGAACACAGCACAGAATTACAGTCAACTGGATATCTACCTCAACTTGATCCACTCAGAAAACGCCTTCGATCGAGCCGTCGACAGAGAAGTGATTTGGCAGACAGCTGCTTCAACACCACGGTTTCAGTGACACAAACCACTATCAACCTGATTGAACACCAACTATCTGATTGCTATATGATGCTACATGTGAAGTGATTGACAATGGGAAGTTGAGTGATGCCAGTGAAGTGAAGACAGTGGACAGCATTGAGACATGGTTGCCGTCACCTACTATAATCGATGATCTTCCAGATTGTGGTTGATTGGAGTGGACTGGATTGGAGTGTAGTTGAGTGTAGTGTAGTGTAGTGGAGTGGATTGTAGTGGAGTGGAGTGGAGTGGACTGGAGTGGAGTGTGGTGTAGTGTAGTAGAGTAGAGTGGATGATGCAACATACAATTGTGAGGAGTGATAAGGTGGTCATGTGTTGGCTGGATGGATGGAGAGACACTGGAAGAAGATTTGTAATTGGCTGATGATGATTTATATGTGCTGTCTCGTTGTAGGAAGTGGAAGTGGAAGATGTGGAGGTGGAAATCAAGAAGTTGGTAGGAGAGGCGAGACGAGGTGAGGTGAGGTGAGGCAGTGAAGGAAGACATGAGTTCGTTGAGTTGAAGGTAGAGAAGAGAGATGTGAAGAGAATACCGAATCGACAAGAAGAGAAACAACGAGGAGCACGAATGAGTATGAGTGTGAGAAATGTGGATGAATTGGAGTGTTTCACGTACCCACCTACCCACCTACCTACCTACCTACCTACCTAGGTAAAGCAGCATCTTTGAACTTAAGGTGATGGTGGCGACGGGATGGATGAGGATGTCAAAGCAGTGAGGATTGGGAAGAGAGCAGGACAGGCCTTCCTTCGTCAATCTGAAATAATCAGTGTGCGGATCTGCTGCATTCAGAATAAAGCGTGAACAACATCCGGATTTCCAACACCAATTCAGTCAAGTAAGTCAGTGATTCCATGTGATTGTTGAGAGACTTGGAGTGTCACGAAAAGCGTTTGGAACAAACTGGAGACATACATCATTTGAACAGCTGGCACCTATGCTCACTTGATACTGACACTGAAGTTCGATGAGATGAACAGAATAATAAGAATGAGCATGAAGGAAGTCTGGCTGGCCCCGCAACGAACCAACCAACAACCTATCGTCCATCGAATATGCAGAAGACGGAATTATGGATGAATACAGCAAAAACTGAGAAGACCATTTGGGGACATAACGCGTCACGTTAGGCCAGGTCGTCGAGTGGAAGCCAGGCGGGAAATGACGAGTTGTGCGTCTGAGGGTGAAATGTAGGAGATTGTGTGATTAAGAAATGAGAGGTTGTGGTCAGTGGTGGAGGCAGGTAGAGAGGACTGCAGAGATGATTATGAAATGGCGTTGTGGTAGTGAATGATTATGTTCCACTGGGAACCCAAGGGACGAATAATAATCATAAAATAATACTAGTGGCTTAGTGATATCCAGAAGCTATATGTAATCTGTATATTTTTAGTTAATCCAAAATTCACCTGTGTTTACAACTATGGAAACTCCATTCAAAGCTTCTCATCTTTGACCTTCAACCAATCAACACAAGAAACTTAGTAACACAGAAATTTTTCATGTAGGTAAGCTGTAATATTCGATTAACTAGCTAGTGAAATTCGATTTCCTAATGGATACCAAACGGGAACTAGATCGGACACATAGTATTGCTGTGAGGGTGACCAATAGCTGTCTCGATAATTCAATATAGAGAACAGTTATCAAGAGAATTCTTATTGAAGTCATTACTTTTACACTGACACTTATACAGGATGGTTCGAAGAAAGAAAGGAGAATATATCTAGGTATTTGATGTAGATTATCTTCGGGTACATCTTATGCAAGCCAAAAATTGGGAAATATATATCTAAGATATGTGTCACTGGTTGTATCACTTCAATTATGTTAAAAGTCATTTTACTGATGACTTAATTGGTAAAGTTATTGTATAGCTTGGATCAGGGGCTTTCTATTGGCATCTCATGGAATCACAATGACTTATGGTTTGGATAGGTTTGGTGGTGGTTATTGACTTTTATGTATAGATGAATGGGAAGCGTTAAAGATACGAACTTTAAGCATCGAACTCGAGGTTCTGTTGTCACTGGTTGGCAAGGCCAAATTACATAACTTTTCATGTGGGTGGAGTGAATATACGAGACTGGGTAAGTAATATTCGAGATCAATAGCGTTCAAGGTGATCTTTAGGATTGAATCAGTAGACAATCGCAATCAGATAAAGTTATGACAATGTTCAATATCAAATCGACTATGTTTAAATGAGATGCCAAACCGAAATTTACCTCTAGTGGTCTTTGTACACGCGCCATAATAGTATGCTGTGATTTATCCATTGGATAAATATTATCTGTTAACGAACCAATTTTCAAATAGAAATTTAGATCTAAATAGGAAAAAATTGATCAATTAAAACAAGATTAAAGTTTTTTTTAGAAAAATCATATTTTTCTTGTTAAAAAATGAAATTAAAAAGAAGGTTGGTTTGCTATACTACAGTAATAGAAACATAAGTCAAAACTTACATGAGACCTAGAAATTACTGTCACATTTTATATCAGCGTATCAAGATATCAAGCAGAAATAAGGACGAGTTAGAAGTAGGTGAAACAAAGTCATGAAGGATAGAGAGGGAAGGCTTGAACAATTACGAATATCAAATGATACTTAATCTGAAGAAAACTTGTGGATATATGTATACGAGTAGTACTGATTCTGCACCATTGTAATGAGAGTCTGCAATCACTGATTTCGATTGCCATATAGACTCCATCCAGGCAGAATGGATTCCCACCACGATTCATAGACAAACACATCAAGCCTAAACCTCAAAAAGAGAACCTTACCATGGTGCTAAAAAAGATACTTTATATGAATCTAAACATCTAAGGTGATTATGCTACTGAGACTGTAAAGAGGAGGACATCAAACCGTCTTTCCATCAACTCTGTGACTAGTATCCTTTTGTTGTCCAACGATTTCTAGCAACTCACAGGAGAAACTTTCACATCTGTACACTTTTATGTGCATATATCAATTCTCCTGCTCTTGTAGAGCCAGATATACAGGTCATTCGATACGAATATTATCCAGAAGGGTTCAAGAAGGCTATCCCGCCTGGTTACAAAGAGGTAACAATAGAGCGATAAACAGTGTTATGGTTGAACACATAGTGGACACGAATCATTCTATCTCATAAATACTTTCATTTACAGTCATTTATAAAGTGAAAAGAAACCTTTCAATGACTGTATGTCTTCGTATTGTCTGCATCTCCAAAGCTCTTGTAATCCCGATTGGAGAAACCTGAACCATGTTCAACCTCTTTTCCCTTCAAGGTCTTAGTTTTCAGTCCTTGAAATCCTATCTAACCCTAGCCCACCTTTTCTTTCCATTTTCTGTTTTGACACTGTTCACTTATTAAGTAAGTTGTTACTTATTCTTATTACTATGCTCTGCCTGATCACAATTCAGTTTCAAATTTTGTCGTCATGTTACGAAACTTCTTGTTAAAACTTATTTTGATCAATATTCACTACTCTTCACAGTCTTGTTTTGATATTTTGATAGTAATGACACGTCATATATTGACCCCATTTGTATTACCATGCTTGACAAACTGTTTTTAACTATTAAATCCTTACACAAGAATAAGTGTTTGCATAAACTTGGGTTTCGCCAACGATGACTTCTGTCTAATGTCGTACAGACTTGAAGATCTACAGGTGAAAACTAACAAGTTGGCAGAAGAGGAGAGGCAGGGCAGCGAAGACGATACTTCAGGTGAATATAGAGAAGACAGAAGTGATGAAGATACCGCACCAACAACTCCAACAACAACAACAACAAACTCCAATAACCATCAGCGGGAGAAACCTAAAGGAAGTAACCTCCTTCACCTACCTAGGTAGACGAGGATGTCAAAGTCAGAATCGGAAATACAACGAAACAGACATTCATTAACCCGAAACCAGTGTGGAGATCTACTCCACTGCACTCAGCATGAAGCGTGAACAACATCCGAATTTTAAACACCAATTCAGTCAAATCAGTGCTTCTGTGTGATGGTTCAGAGACTCAGCGCATTACGAAAGGCATTTTCAACAAATTACAGACAGTCATCAACAACTACCACCTACTCTGGCTCATTACTAAAGCTCAGATGTCCAGAATGATGAGAATAAGCAACAAGGAACTCTGGGAACGAACCAACCAACAAAGCGAGTAATCATCACCCAACAAATATGCAGTGGAAGGAAGTGGAGATGGATTGGGCATACACTGAGAAGGTTGACTGGGGACATCACGCGTCAGGCCAGTTCGTTGAGTGGAATCCCCATGGGAAGCGACGAGTTGGGTGTCGGTGGCGAGGGTGACATTGAGGAGATCATGTGAGGAAGAAATGAGAGATTGTAGGCAGTCGTGGAGCCAGGTTGAAAAGATTTCAGAGAGGAGAGTGGAATGTAGACGTGCTAGTGAATCACTATGTTCCATTAGGAACCCAACGGACAAATAATAAAAAATAAATAAACTTGTGATTATACAACTTTGAAAATGAAATCATCGAAAAGAGACTCTTCACTGAAACATACTTATTCTCCTTTCATCCAGGCAATCTAAACCTCTTTAGGCTGATGAGAACAACAATCAGATACACTTCATGGATTGATGATATAATTAAGCCTGACCACTTCTCACCATTTCTCCAACCTAACAGCAGAAACTTATAAGTATGATTTATGATTCAGTGGAAGTTGCACACCATTTCACTTATTCACATAACTAGGCATTTTTTACTTCCTTGATTGGAGATGGCCTATACACTTCACGAGATGTCAAAGAATATTTGCCCACTTTGTGAGTCTATAAACCCTTTCTAATCTTAATCTCAATTAAATTACCAGTAGTCATGAAGGACGAGTTTAGAGGTCACACGAGTGTGACTAATAACGACAACACGAATAGAAAGGAGTTCAAAGCCTCCATTGTATTACCCCTTAAGGAGAGTACCTCAGAAACTTTACTTAGAATCCTCAACATAGCTGGAATTAGGGTGGCATTTAAACCTACAAACTCACTCACTTTGTCGGCTGCCGTAAGGATCCGATAGAACCAATTAACTGAAATAATGTAATCTATCAAATACCATGTAATGATTGTGAGGTAAAGTATATAGGTCAAACTAGTCGGTCAGTGTCAGTTAGAATAGTCGAACATAGAAATTTATCTAAATGTAGAATAACAGACCTAATAAAATCAATAATCTAGGTGACTCGGCTATTGCTATGCCTGCATTTAACACACAACCAGACAATAGGGTGGGATGAAACCAATGTACTTAAGTCCAACATAATTAGGTGGATATTGAGAGATTGATGACTGAGTCTTTGTTCATCGAATCAACACGCAACACATGTACCAGAGATATGTAAAAAATGTTGCTACCAATAAAAACAACTCATACAAAGTGACGTAACTATAAAAATCAAATGTCGAAAGTGGAGTGTGACTACACATTGATGTGATGATTATGAACAATGATCATTTATGCTCGAAATGCCATCAAGTAAATAATACTAGATCACTGTGTGTTATAAATCAAATAAACAAATCTAATATGGAGGTAGGAAACCTTATAAATTATTCCACGACTGCAGGCTGACAGACGATAGATACTACAAACAACAGTGTGAAAGTGACAGTATTGCCTAAAGCTATCGTCTGGCTAAGAGTAAGTTACTTCTGAAGTCAATAACCTAACCATAAGCTTTTCGAATTCAGGTCAGAGTGACGTAGTTTTAAGCCTCTAAACATAATATGAGTACCCCAAAATCTGCAAATTTACCTTGGTAATGAGTATGAAGAAGTTTGAAACCTCGGTGAACCTTTCTGAATTAGGGTTCATTTTGAAGTATTTTTTATGTTTAAACTCAATCAGAGTTATTTAATCTCCAATGAAAGTATCGAAAATATCATTAAATATTGATAATAAAGCTTTTCTAATAACAAAGTATATCCATCAGAGCATATCACTTTAGCGCAAAATAGAAATAATAATAATGAAAGTAACTATTGTATTTTATTACACTATTATTAGTCCCTTGGGTTTCAAATGGAACATAAGGGATTCAGTAGCACGTCTCCACTCCACTCTCTTCTCTGAAATCTTTTCAACCTGGCTCCACGACTGCCCACAATCTCTCATTTCCTCCTCACACGATCTCCTCAATGTCACCATCGCCACCGACACCAAACTCGTCGCTTCCCATGGGGATTCCACTCAACGAACTGGCCTGACGCGTGATGTCCCCAGTCGGAATTCTCACTGTATACCGAATCCATCCCCACTTCCTTCCACTGCATATTTGTTGGGTGATGATTACTCGCTTTGTTGGTTGGTTCGTTCCCAGAGTTCCTTGTTGCTTATTCTCATCATTCTGGACATCTGAGCTTTAGTAATGAGCCAGAGTAGGTGGTAGTTGTTGATGACTGTCTGTAATTTGTTGGAAATGCCTTTCGTAATGCGCTGAGTCTCTGAACCATCACACAGAAGCACTGATTTGACTGAATTGGTGTTTAAAATTCGGATGTTGTTCACGCTTCATGCTGAGTGCAGTGGAGTAGATCTCCACACTGGTTTCGGGTTAATGAATGTCTGTTTCGTTGTATTTCCGATTCTGACTTTGACATCCTCATCTGTGACACTGCCGCCTGTAGTTGAAACAGTGCTGCCTAGGTAGATGAAGGAGGTTACTTCCTTTAGGTTTCTCCCGCTGATGGTTATTGGAGTTTGTTGTTGTTGTTGTTGGAGTTGTTGGTGCGGTATCTTCATCACTTCTGTCTTCTCTATATTCACCTGAAGTATCGTCTTCGCTGCCCTGCCTCTCCTCTTCTGCCAACTTGTTAGTTTCCGCCTGTAGATCTTCAAGTTTGTGTGACATCAGGCACAAGTCATCGGCGAAATTCAAATCTTCTTCTAAGCTCTTTTCATCGGTCCAGCTAGCGTATCCCCCTCTTCTCACAGCTCACCACTGTTGTCTGCTGCATGGTCCAGTCGACCACAATCAGGAATATCATAGGGGATAGTAGGCAACCTTGTTTCACTCCTTCCTGTCCTCACTTCGAAAGCATCACTGAGCTTCCCACTGTGAATTACTTGGCCGGCATGTGGTGTCTTCATACAGCTGTTGTCAAATGAGGTTGATGAAGGTTTGTGGTATTCCGTAGTATTGAAGCAGTTTCCAAATTACCTCTCGGTCGACGCTGTCAAAGGCCTTCTCAAAGTCGATAAAGTTGAGGTAGAGAGTTAGCTGGACTGCCATTGTATACTCTGTTCTATGATGATGCGTGGTGTGGCGTTGCAATTCGGTCGGCACATGATTTGTA